TGGATTTTTTTACTGATATATCATATGCTTCTTTGAGCCTTATCTTATATTTTTTCATATTTTTAAGTAGAGGTTCTACATCATCATTTCCTTTAAGTTTTAGTGCCATTTCCGTCAAAGCAATCAAATTTTCATTTTCAATTATTTCATTGGACCATGTTACATTATTAGATTTTCTGCCTTTTGGCTTAACCATAGTTTTTAAAATAGGACAGGTTGTATCTAAGTGATATTTAAGAGTTAACATGAAATTATCAAAGGCAGTATTAACATTTCTAGAGACCAAGGTGTCTTCCCAATGTTCATTATGAAGGGCTATCCTTAAATGTCCTAAATTTTGCTCATTTAAATTTCTACCTATTTGAAATATTTTATGAACTTTTGGTTTCGAAACATCCACTTTAATTTGAAGAATTTCATGGTCCAATATTCCATAGTTTCCTAACGTATTTTTACTAATGATGTTTTTACTATTTGAAAAGATATTATCAATAGCAGAGTCGTTACCAGACATAAGGTTTTTTCTTGTGTAACAATTAAACAGTTTACTAAGACATGCAGTATCAAATAGATCTAGTAATTCTTTTGATTTAAAATTCATATTAGACAAATTCACATTAAAGTCTCCTATGACAAAAACCTCATTAACTAAGGGATCTACCTTTATGAGGGCTTCTTGAAGTATATCAACAAATTTGTTCCACTTCTCAACAGTTGGATTAGATGGAGATCTGTATACTGCCATTAAGATAATATTTTTGTCCTTGAAATTGATTCTGATAGCAGTTATTTCACAAATAAGATCGGTTTATAGAGATTTAATATCTGTTAGTTCTTCAGTGAAGGCTGATAGAAATGGGTTAGTTAAAATCATAACTCCACCTCCTCTAATGTTGGATCTACAGGTTACTGATGCTTTGGAAAGGAAGTCCAGATTAAAAATTTTGCATTCCTCTTCTTGCAGCCAATGTTCAGTAATTACTACTATATCTGGACTGCTATCTTGGTTAATTTTATTTATTAAGTTGATTTTGTTTCTAATAGAACGTGCATTTATTGACAAGATGTTTATTCCCGAGTCCCTCCTAGTCAAAAAGGCCAAAACCGTAATCCTCATCCTCTTCTGATTCTACAGTTTGGATCTTGTTGAGTTGTTCTTTTGTTACCGTTTTTGACCAATTCTTGTTCACTATTTTGTAGATTTCTTTTACGACCTTTTCTTTTCCTTTCAAGTTTAGATGCAGACCATGTTCCGTGTAGTGGTATCTTCCTAGTAGTTTTGTTAGGTCTATGAGATGTACTCTGTCATTGGTATCCAATTTAGTGGCTTCATCTTTTATTAATTTCTCTAATTCTTCATTGTACTCTAGTATGTCATCTCTATATCTTTCCTCATCATCAAATCTTAAAGGGGCATTTACTATAATTACATTGGTATGCTTAGACTGGCTGATCATCTCTACTCTTTGCTTGGAAAATAGATTGCTATCATTCGTACCAGACATGAAGACTATGTAGTCGTCTGGAGAGAGGTGTGCCGTGTTTTCATTAAGGTTTTCTACAATATTTTCTGTGGTCGCACTTGGTTTGGACACTACAAGGGTGTCAGCTTCTCTAATTTCTTGATGAAGAATGCTTCCCATTAGCTTTACTTGACTGTCCCCATGGATTTCTATTTTGGTTTTATTCAATTTGAAGTTGTGTGGAACCACCTCAAACAGGTATGACAACCACAAAGCTCATGTCAGAAAGTGTAAAGATAAGCATCTGTCTTCTGGTAGCAAGTCCATAGAAGAAGAATCGAAACAGGAAAAAAATTCCTCAAATGGAATCAAGAAATCAAAGTCCAAAACACCATGTCTGTTTCCTGACTGTGATTTAGAGTTTTTTCATAAGAAGAGTCTCCTTGAACATCTAAAAACTGTCCATGAAGGGGTAAATTTACAAGACCCTGTTTCTAAACAATTAACTCTACTGATGAATTTCATGTTTGGAAAGATGAAGAACAAGCCAGAACATTCTCATATTTCAGCAAAAAAAGTGGACAAAATGCAAGTAAAATACAATATTTTTATTGCCAACATGATGGCGTTTCCCACTCAGCAAGGAAAACAGGGCGTGTTAAGTTAGTGGGCAAAGTAAAAGTGGGACATTATTGCATTGCTAAAATGCAAGTCTGGAAAGACACAGAAGATAAGATCAATCTGCTTTATTACCCAACTCACAGTCATCACTGTTCACCCTCTGATCTTGTCCATCAGCCTCTATCAAAGAAAGATGACATGTACATTAATGAAAAAATAGCGTGGGGAGTATCACCAACTAAGATTTTGAGGGACATTCAAAAGAACTGCATTCCAACAACATCCAGTCTTGACCAAATTCAAAATTTCAAAGCTGCAGTTAAAACGAAGAAAAGAATCAGGGAAAGAGCAAGAAAAAGAAGAGAAAAGAGGAGATATCATAAAGATGAAGCAAAGGCTGTCTTTCTTATGGTGAATGAGCTTAGTAAAGACCGTGATTGTGTAGTTTTATACAAGCCTTATGGACATGATGTTCAAATTGGTCCCAAGGAGATTAATTCATTGCCTGATCACAAACAATTGTTCATGCTTGGTCTACAGACCAAAGAGCAGGCTGCACTGATGGTTGAGCACAGCCACAAAATAGTGCTTGTCGATGAAACACACGGGACTAATCATCATAAATATCAGTTGTTGACCCTCATGATCATCGACGATAATAACAGAGGATGGCCTGTTGCTCACTTGATATCAAGTAAGAGTGATGCTGATACTCTCCAGTACTTTTTTAGAGCCCTGAAAGAGAAACATGGCAATGCAGACAACCTTAACTTAAACTGCATTATATCCGACGATGATTCAGCCCTAATAAATGCTATGGACCTTGGGTTTGAGGGCAAGTTAGGCTCGTTGCGCCATATACTGTGTAAATGGCACTTATTGCGTGCATTTAAGAAGAACCTTCGATCACATGTGCCGAAAAGCTTTGTTGATACTATGATGAATGAGTTAAGAGTCCTTGTTAATGAAACAGATCAGAAGACTTTTTATGATTTGCAGGCTGGATTCATTGCCAAATATGAGAATTTAGATCAATGCAAGAGCTTTATCACTGAATACTACCGTAAATATTATGTGGATCGGGTTACAAAGTGGGCAATGTGTTTCCGGAACTTTCCCCATGCAAACATCAATACAACAGGTCACATTGAATCGTTTCATCATCGCTTGAAGAAAGTCTACTTGAAGAGAAAAGTGAACCGCCGTCTTGATGATCTGGTCAACATTTTGATTGACATTGAATGGGATGACAAAATAAGAAGAGTTCGTGAGAGTGTTGTGGGCATGGCTTATCAACCACATGAAATTTTGGACAGGCATAAGAGAGGCATGCAAATTAGTGATGAAGATCTAGTAAAAATTGATGAAAACACCTGGGACATTAAATCATCTTCTGGTAAAGACAATTATTATATTGCTCGTTACCATGAAAAATGCCCATTGGATCACTGCTTTTTAAAATGCACTCAAATTTTATGTGGTGGTCTGTGTTCTCATATTTATTCATGCTCTTGTAAAGATACTAACCCTCTCTGTAAACATGTTCACAAATTGCATTCTCTGCTGATGAGAGACATTGTGAAGCAGGTACGTGATAATGCCTGTAATGTTGATTTTGTTCCTGATGAGCCCTGTAATGAGGAAGCATTTCATATTCCTAAGTCAACCCCTCCTGAAAATAGAAGAACTCTCTCTCATCAGTTTGTTGAGCTAGAGGAAAATTTGTCACAACTTGCAGAAATTTTATCCTCTGCAAAAGGTAACCAGAGACCTCTTAAAAATGCCAATGCCATTGATCATGCCACCACTGTGACTCGGGAACTTATCTTGCAATTAAAGTACATGTGTGAAGATGATGATGTTGATGAAGTTCCGTTCATGGAACCTGCAGTAAAATTCAACTCCAATGAAAAACTGAAGACCCAAGTGTCGCAATTACTACCGTTTAAGAAACCAGCAGCTAAGAGGAAGAGGAAGGAGGCAGGAGTTAGTCCAGAACGAAAGAAAGCGATCAAGAAAGACCTGCTGGGAATTCTTGACAGTGACAATCCGGATGACCCTGGTAGCAGCTCTGAGCCACTTGGTTTCATTCCATCAGATGATCCTGGTAGGAGCTCTAAGTCTCTTACTAGTTTCACTCCACCTTTGAGTTTTGCACCAAACCCATGTGATGTCATCTTGAAATGTGGGTATGAGCAAATTTCGTTACTTGCTTTGAAATCATTGGAGTATCAAATGTCAGATGAAGAAAAACAGGAGTGCAGGATGCTAGATCCAGCATTTACCTGTGGCTGGCTCTATTCATCTGTTATCAATGCTTATTTAAACTCACTTGAAGACCAGTATCCATTGTGTCTCGCATTATCTTCAGATCTTGCTATCCGCGCCTCAAGAGGACAATCAAACCTACGTGTATTGCAGAAGAGCTTTGCTGATAGTCAAAAAGATGTTGTACTTCTCCCTTGTAATCTGTCAGGGTATCATTGGTGCATCATTGCAGTCCATTTAACAACCCCAAAGATTTTATATTATGATCCTCTGCAAGGAGAATTAAGTCAGCCAACACAAACCCTGTTGTTCCAGCTTAGTAAGGATTTGAATTCACTCCTTCCCTTGAATTCTGGGTGGAAGACTATTGTGTATGTAAAGGCCGTGAAGCAAGATGACTCGTACAACTGCGGTGTTTATGCATGCGCCTTTGCTGAACAAATGGCGAGAAAATCCCTCCCATTTCAAAAGCCAACCAACATAAATGCTTTTCGGAAAAAAATTTATGATTCTATTGTTGGTGGCTGCTTGAGGGACATGAATTTAGAACAATGTTCTATTTGTTATGAAGATTTTTCACAACAATTTGAAAATGACAACAGAACTTGGATTTCCTGTAAAAGATGTGACAAATGGTTTCATGACGATTGTGTGACTAATTCTACTGTGCATTTTGTCTGTCCGTCCTAAAATATTCCTTTTTCTTGTTAATTAAACCATTTTATTTTGAAAAAAAATTCTCATTTAATCTCATTTACATTTCAAGTCATCAAATCAACAAAAATAAACATGAACACAAAAAAACAATGACATTTGAAGAAATAATGTGAAATGACATAGCTAAAACACCATTGTTTTATTACTCAACTTTGATTTTTTTGGTTTAAAATCATCATCTGACAGCTTATCTGCAGTAGGTTGACTCAGTGTATTTGACAATTTTCTCAATTGACTGCTTTGGTTGCCCTGCAATTGAAAAAGGTATAATTAATCAAGGTGAAACATAAAAACTAGATTTGGCTGTTACAAAGCATTTCATTTTTTTAATGGCAATAAATGCCTTTTACTATTTTATTAGTACCTTTGGTTGAGAAAGTGATAGAGATTTCCTTTGAGGAGTGGAGAGTGATGGAATCTTTTGAAAATGATTATCATCCACCTTCTGAAAAAGAAATGTGAAATTGTATATGTTGATTGAAGTCTAAAAACTGGGATTTGCATTCAAAACTCTTAACAAAGGACTTACACTGGTTTTCTTTCTCAACAGCTCAATAGATGTATGGGCTTCAGCAAGGCTCGCATTCAGAGCTTCATTTTCCTGAAAAAGGGGTTGCATTATTAGAATGTGAATTAGAGAATTAAAGAAGACAATGGAATTTATACTCACATCTGAGACTTGTTCAGTTTCTCTACAAATTC